TTCTCTAGTCTCTCCTCGTAGGGCTTGGTCTGCAAGCCCTTAACCATATGAGTGGCCCTTCTCTGGACCCTCTCCAGGTTATCCACATCCCTCCTGAAGTGCGGCACCCAAAACTGCACGCAGTACTCCAACTGCGGTCTGACCAGCGCCCAATAGAGGGGAAGTATCACCTCCTTGGATCTGTTCGTCATGCATCTGCTGATGCACAATAAAGTGCCATTGGCTTTTCTGATGGCTTCGTCACACTGCCGACCCATGTTCATCTTGGAGTTCACTAGGACTCCAAGATCCCTTTCTGCTTCTGTTCCACCAAGCAGGTCATTCCCTAGGCTGTAGGTATGCTGGACATTTTTCCTCCCTAGGTGCAGCACTTTGCATTTCTCCTTGTTGAATTGCATTCTGTTGTTTTCTGCCCATTTGTCCAACCTGTCCACGTCTGCTTGTAGTTGTTCCCTGCCCTCCGGCACGTCCACTTCTCCCCACAGTTTTGTGTCATCCGCAAACTTGGACAGAGTACACTTCACTCCCTTGTCCAAGTCGCTGATGAAGACATTGAAGAGTATGAGTCCAAGGACTGAGCCCTGCGGGACCCCACTGCCCACACCCTTCCAGGTCGATGCCTTTCAGATACTTCTCTCTGGCGAGAGACAGGCTGACAAAGCCTGACAGCTTAGGCATTCACAGGCTTATATGCTGTTTTTAAAAACTTTTTAGATCGCTCCCCCAGAGCACTGAGATTGGAAGGGACCTCAGGGACAGTTTGCAGACACTGGCCAGTTACAGATGTCAGTCTGTTCCCCCCTCTTCCCCCTCCCTTTCCTTACTTTCCCTGCAAGCCCAGCTTTAAAATCCCGAAACATCTCTGAAATGTGTCAACTTGTTTCATTTCGAACGTTTTGACATGTCTCCTATTTTGTTTTGGATTTCGAGTCTTGAGCGTCGAAACACTGCTAAAACGAAACGGCAGTCGAAATATTGCACAGCCCTGGGGAACAGGATGTAGGGTTACACATTTACTCAGTCAGCGGACTTGTTATTTTGAAGGAGAGATGCATAAGGAAAAAGTCCTGGAATCCAAAGAGGAACCCAGGAGATTTGGAAGGGGAGGGAGAGAAAAAACAAAAAACTGAAACGGTACGTCTTCCTATTCAGAATATGAACCTGACATAACTTTCCAGAGGAGCATAATTATATCTGTTCTGAACCATCTTGAAAGACGAGAAACTCCTGCCATATCTGAGAGATTAAGGGAACTAATCTGGGCTTTTGCCAGCACAGCTGAAAACACACTGGAGAGTATTTGCCCTTCATGTTATTGGTCAAGCAGAAAGGCCACACACACTGTGGTGAAGGAGTAGACACTTGATCTTACTTGATATCCCAAATGTAGATGTATGTGTCAACAGAACTGGTGACCAGAAGGTCAGGCTCAAACACTGCCCAGTCCAAGTCACTGCAAATACAAAAAGCAAAGGAAATCTTAGTAGGGTCAACCAAGTGTACCACATTGTCTGCATCATCTTCTCATGTACCCATAAAACATTTCTGACATGTGCACTGACACCTTCTAAAGTCATGTCATCCCCCCCAGTAAAAGATGAACATAACTTACTTCTAGAAATACTTTCAAGAGAAAGGCAGGGAGGGAACTGTGTTATAGCAGTTCCTCCCATGACAAAGAAAGGAGTACTTTGGCAAAAAAATCTAGACTGACAGACATTTCTGGGGATGGCATTTTGCTAAGCTCATGAGCTGTAGGTTTGCAATTAGTTTTTACAATAAAACTTGGCATAAAGGAAAGAAACTCTTACTATATTAGTCCTCTACACAGACATAAAACGAAATCCCAGTGACAATCCCAGATTCACTGCTGACGTACCAAATTCCAGAGGTTTTCCATGTAGCAGAGCAATGTGCTACCAACTTGCACATTACAGACAGCCTGCACCTTACTTTAATGAATCTGCTATCAGCAAAAAATCACAACTGGGATTCAGTTTAATAGCCACACTGCTATCTATTTCCCAGATTTCATATATTTTTAGGGTTGGAGAGGACCTCAGTAGATCATCGAGTCCGATCCCCGATTGATTCTGCTTGCTTTCTTAAATAAGAACAGCTGCCATTGAAAAGTGGAATGACTCACAAACCACCTCAAAACCAACCTGAACTAGATGCGTGTTTCTTGCCATTGGGAGTGGGGGTGATGACAGCAAATAGGGTATAGGTAGGCAGGCCAAAGAAGTGAAAAGAAAGAAAAAAAGAGGCTCTCACACCAGAGTCCAAGAATAGGGCTCAGACTATGCTCCAATGTACATAAGCTATAAAGCCAGCCATACCATTGTCTTTCCAGTAGGCCGGAGCTGTGCAGGACTTCTCACCTGATCACACGTGTGTGCCCTTGCAGTGATGTGCAAACTTCCCCGTTACCATCTTTCCATTTATACAGGTCAACTCGCTGATTGCTCTGAAATTAAATGGATGAAATGAGATGGTGGAAGGCAAACTGAGCAGTTCAGGACTCCTAGTTTCCTGGGATTTGAACAGATTCAGTTACTGACAAATTACACTATGAAGGGCAAAGTCTTTGCTCAGGATGCAAGCAGAATGAAGGTGAATCCACAGGCTGATAAAGATCTCAAAACACTCAACACCTAAAATGTTACTTGAATTTACTTAAAAGTAGAGCTGAACAAGAATGGAAAAAAAAAATCCCACAGGCAAAAGAGTTTCAGCTAAATGCTCTTCTCAGCATGAGATTCTAACTTCAGAAGCAGCTAGCAAGAATCCAACCTAGGAATTCCTTTTCATTCTGTCCAGATCTACAATCAGACTTTAAGGGGAAAAAGAGGACAGGTTCCCTAGAAGCCTCTCTCCACTTTCTATCCATCTCCTCTAAAGCCCATCAGTACCACTGAGGAACAGGAAAGAGGGTTTGCAGGAGCAGGACACATGCCCTCCGTCTGGGGTTCAGGTAAACTGCCACAAGGGTGCCGCCTCCTCTGCCATTTTGGGAACAATTACTTACCTCATATTACAGTGCATAGCTCGTATTTTTTTTTTTTTTTTTATGGATTCATACAAATCACCCATATCTCCCTGTGTACATGTTATTTAGAGCTGATCCATACATTCCAGGTGGAACCATTTATGAATGTGCTCCCACACAGAGTTATTCAGGAATAGTTATTGTGGTATAATTTCACATACTATTTAATCCAAAATAACTTCCAGGTGATGACAATCCCTCAGATTCCAAGTGGGGTGGGGACAATCTCTTTATTCTGCAAGCTACCTAGCACAGTGGGGTCCTGGTCCATTCTGGAGCTCCTCAGTGCTACTGTAAAACAGGGTAACACATGGCTCTACAATTCAGTCTTCATTACCCCTTGATCTTACATAGCTAGATGACAAGAACTGTGTCTAGTTATCTTATATTTGTAGGACGTTTCATGCCAAAGCTCTTTATAAATATTTCAAGCTGGATTAAAAAAAAACAACCCCCCACCCCCCCCCCAAAAAAAAAAAAAAAAAAAGCAACAACCTTCCCCCATGCACTAATAGGCCCATAGGACTAGAAGGCCGTCCCAACCCCCTCAAAGGCAAGTGAGTGCAATCCCTGCATTTGCAGGCAGCCACTGTTAGGAATTCTTGGGTAGAACATCCACTCCCAATTTGCATATACTGCGACTACAAGGAGCAAAACCAGAAACACCAAAGGTCCCCCTAAAATATCCCTAAGGTAAAAAGAAGGGGAGACAAAGGCACAGCCAATGTCCTGCTAATGGAAGGCTTCCCTTTCCCTTTAGCTTTGTGGTATAACATGGCAGCTCTTTAACAGCATGTAAAAACACATGAACCCTACAACAGGGGGAATCCCTTAGGCTAAGGGTGCTCAACCATTGACCCTCTGGTCATACCTCCCACAGATTCATTGGGTTTGGGGCACATCCTCCCCTCCCACGGCTGGATCAGGGCCAAGTGGAGGCCAGACTGCCCGCCTCACCCCCACAGCCAGATGGGGTCCTTCTACAACTGCCCCAGACACTGGATCCAGACCACTGGCTAGATCCGTGTTGCCATTGGACTGAGTGCTGCCCATCTGACCTGCCAGCCAAAAAAGGTTGAGCACCACTGCCTTAGCCAACTGGAAACAAAGGGAATTAGGGTGGGGTGGGTGGTGGAAAGAAGAGTAAAATGATCCCACTGGAATTTGGCCAGGTCACAAAAGTTAATTGCCTCAACTATGTGTGTCAGGATCTCAGCAATGTATCATCTCTAGAAGGTATCCTGAGCAACACAGCACCTGGTTCTGGAAAATGATAAACTGCTTACTCACTGCATGAATGCTTCTTGCTGATTACTACTCAAGGTATGCATCAGTAGCTCTTTTAACATTCTCATCACTGTCCCTGGACAGATGTTAGGTGACTACACATAAGAACAAAAAATCAGGGCCCTGCAGAGAATATAGGGGTGTCCCTGGAATGGAAGGATGAGCAGTCCCCAGAAACTGGTCACACTTCAATCCAAGAAAGTACAGTGGAAGACCCCATTCAGATTCTTTGAAAAACAAACAAACAAATAAAAAGAGTGCTCTCATCCAAACATATTAGGACAGATTTCCCCTTTTCTGCACCATCTGCAGCCATTTACACCAGGGCTGTCCAACTTCTTAACAGCCAGAGACCACATGTTTTCTGCACCTCATATGCAACCACCCAGCACCTCTTTGGTGGTAGGCTCCCCTGACACCGAGGGCTGTGTTGAACCATGCCACCCTGCTTTTCTCTGCACCCCGAGGTGGGGGAAGAGGAAGTGAAAGCCAGAGAACGGATGGAAAGCCTGGAGGGTGCAGATATAGTTAAGGACTGAGTGGTGAAGGGAGTGGCAGCCAGGGGAACCCAGGGGCTTCAGATTAAGTCTCTGTGGGCTGCATGCATCCCATGGACTATTAAACTAGTGGTTCTCAACCTTTTTTGTACCAGGACCCAGTGCCCCTCACTCCCGACCCACTAACCCCCACCCTGCGGAAAGGGGTCCCCCCCAGCAGTCCTTTGCAGGTTTCCCACAGTTTTTTCCCTTAAAGCAGAACCCATTTTTGAAGTTTATTGATCCATTTTTAAAGCTTACCCACCACCCTTTCATCTATTCTTGCAACCTACTTTTGGGTCACAACCCATGGGTTGAGAAACACTGTATTAAACAGCCCTAATCTACACCATGCCAGTAAAAGGGTCCCAAATTAGAACAGTGGTGTTTTCATTCCTTTTGCATAAAAAATGATGACAACAACAAAACAGTAACAAAAACAGAGCATGAGTCTCCCCAAGTCCTGAAAACCAATGAAGACTTCTGGAGGTGCCTGAAGACCACAATACACTTTTAGAAGAGAGAATGTTGCCTCCTTGCTCCCAAACTAGATGGGTTAAGTTTTAGGCCTTGAACAGCCTTATTCAGAATTGCCACCAAGATGTCAGCAAAAGATAAGAGAAGTGAAAAGAAAGAACTGATCTGGAGGTGGGAAAGCTGTATGCTTTCTAATGGGGATTCCTTAACAGACTGGTTTCAGCAATAATGATACATGTAACCTGCACAGGAATTGCCATTGCATCTCTCCACCTTCATTTGCAGGTAAGGATAATAAGGCTTGATGCAAACAAAAACTGTTTGAGTGTCACGCAAGCAGAAGGCAAGAATACTAGTACTGGTGTTTCCAAAGCCAAAAAGTCTCCTTCTGGGACAACCTAGTAAAGCAAGAGCTAGTTGGCTCATACTAGTTTGCCCTTACCAAAGTTAGTTACAGTAACTGCAAAAAAAATAAAAAAATATCAGTGTTGTTATAACACCAAATTCCTTTTTAAATAGACATCTGATGATAAGATTCTTGCTCAATTTGCTAACTCCACACCTCTGTTAATTGGCTTGATCTTCCCAGGCTCTCTCAAAAAGCAGCAATGAAAAATGCATTTATGCAAGTGTTTCATTCCCCAATTAGAAAGGATCGGCTGAAGACATTTGTCTCATAGGTCCCAAAAGAGACAGAACTCTCTAAATGTTTTTCATTTTAAATAATCCTGAATTTAAATATTAAAATGACACCAGGGAAAAAGTAGGAAAACCTATCAGCTAACATTTTGCTCAAAGGAATAAGCAGGCCATGATATGAACACTGTATCTTGTAACTACAAATGAAAGATGGCGCAGCCACTGCCTTGAAAGACAGATGGATGCATGTATTTGCTGCCTGCAATGACCAAGCAGTGAGTCACTGCAAAGGGAGACTATCCCCAGCAGGGGCTCAGTACTCTGCCTGTAACAGTTCATATCCTGTATGGCTTCCGTACAAGCTCTGCATAGGTAAGTTTCATATTACTTCTTTTTAATACCAGTTTATTAATTTCTATTTACAGAAAGAAAAAAATCCTTACCTAGTTGGTCTTTTGCCCATTTGCAAACACAGATTCTCTTTTTTGGCCTTTTACATTTATCTCAGCAGAGAGTCAGTATCGTTCTGCTTTATTTACAGGCTGGTTCACATATCACATGCTATCAGCAATGCCGAGAGCAGAAAACAAAATAGCACAGAGCAAGAATACAAGCAAGTCTTGAGCTCTAATTTTGCTACATGTCTCTGAATTGTCTCATTCAGTGCAGAGACTTGATTTCTGATGAGACTTCACATTTGACAAGGTTCTTTATAAAAAAAAAAAAAAAAAAAAGACAAAAGATGCACCTAAAATCATACTCCACTAGCTGATTACTAAGAACTTTCAGGCCAGAAAACTTAGCTTGTCAGCAATTAATCAAACACAAGCTCCAGTCTTGCTATGTGATCTGCACAGCCACGGGGTGTACCATTACTCCTGTACCCACTCTAAGACCCACTGGCCTCAGTAGAGCATCATGTGATTGCCAAAATCTGCCTCTGCGAATTCAGTTGCAGGTTTGGGGTTTCCATGGAAATGTAGAGCATTTCAAGAGAAAACTCACTGAAGCTGCAAAGTAGTATGCACAGCTATCATGTGGATTCCACTGGACAGCTCCGATGTCCCACTTGCTCTGACGCGAGATCTTGCGGTGACCTTCGGTCGGCACATCCAGGTTAACTATGTATAGGAAACGGCGCCTGTAAGGCACAAGCACCATTTTGAAAGGATTAGACAGCATCAGGACAGTGGTAGTTATTTTCATGAAAGAAAAGACTGAAATGAGGGAGTCCCCTGTGGTGCGGTGGTAGAATCCTTGTCTACCAATAGGAGACCTGGGTTCGATTCCCAGTCACATATACAACTACAGCCATGGAGACACCAAACATCTGGACTCAGTCTAGTCTTTGGATTCTGTCTTAGTGGCCTAAAGGGAGGATGGAACGTCTGGGCAGCCTCCATTTCTCTACAAAAATTCCTGCCCAGGCATATACATCAAAGGTATGGGTGGCCCTCATCCTTACACCCTGATCCAGGAGGATTGATGGTTGCCAGAGTGCTGAAATGTCTTAAATTACATAAGGCTGATCATGGAAGTATTGGTTATGTCAGGACCTTGTTGCATGGGACACTTAGTATATGTTAAATTTGTGCAGTATTAAAGTTAGAATGAGTTCTGGACAATTGTGCAGTAATGTTTACTAAGATCTCAAATATGAACAGCTTGATGGTTCAGTCCCAGCGCCCACACCGTACTGGAGTCTTGAACTGGCTTTGAAGAAGTGCCAGGGTGGGGACTGACAATCACCTGATTGTTGGTCTCAGCTTTGGGACCCTCCAGGGCTGCAGCCACCTAGCTTTCAACTTGATCCTAACAAGATAAATATCCAAGATCCTTCTTCCCCGATGCGTGGCTTTCCTTGTCTCACCTGGAAGCTTGGTACAGTAGGAGTCCCTGGCTGATATCACAGTTAGGCGAGGACTGCAAATTCCTTGCATTATATCCAAAGCAAGTGTGGTGATAGCTGAATGTGTTACTTAATGTGATCTAGAGATACTCCTCACATGAAGTCCTAATTTTGCTACAACTGTACTTAGCACCCGTTTTACTGCTTGAACACACAGACTCATGTTTTAAGTGCATTTAACATAAACCAAGTGTACCCTGTGCCAGCTCTTAGATTTAGTGAGCATACAGCTCTTCTGTGCATCACGACAGCGTTGCCAAGACAAGAAACACGAACAAAATCATACTTCTTTCAGACCACAAGGTAAGCCAGGAAAATGTTTACAATATGTGAAATAGGAGTGTCAAAGCCCATGGGTCAGAGCAGCTCTGCAGGCCATATCCATCTGGCCCACAGGGCTACCTGCAGACCAGCAAAGTTGCAGGGTACGGCTGGGGGCATGTGTGGCCTGCTGCACAATCAGGGGCTCTTGGGCCCTGGTGTACATGGCATTTGGTGGCAGGAGGGTGAGTGAGGGCTAATATGACTCCAGTTGTCCTCCAGCCACTTTGCCCATCACAAGAGCTGTGGCCCTAAGTTGCCCCATGCTGGAGCTGCTGCATGCCCCATGCCAGGGCTAGAACTGTGCCATGTGCCCTGGGTTGGAGCCAGAGCTGCCACCATTACATTTTATAGGCTAGACCCACACTGTGCCCCAGGCTTGATCTAGCCCGAAAAAGACTACATTCACTAAAGGTTTAAAGATGCAGAGACTCCTTCTATGGATATTACATGGCACAGATGGGGAAGAGGCAAGTGAAAGAATTTCAAAGCGAGTGCCAGAGAAGTGCCTAGGACTCAGCTTGGTTGTGGGCATGGTGCACGTAACCTGTTTTCAAAAGCACAGGGGAAGTCAGGCCCAGTTAAGTGCCAGCAAGAGGAACATCCAGTCCATCCAGCCTACAGGGAGTGGGGAAGGCAGGTACTGTCAGAACAGCTTCTCCAAGTCTGCCAATACCTCACACATCCCCCACCATAAATGTAACTGAAACAATGGGCCTTTAAAAAGGAAATGGGGGAATGAAGGCAAGAAAAATTGTCTTTGAAGAGGCATGGCAGGGTAAATTGGAGCTCTGTCTAGTAGGAAACTGGTCTGAGGACCCCAGGCTTTCTTGCCCAGCTGAATCATCTTAAGAGACTATGGAGTAGTTTGATTCTAAAGAAACATCAGAAGGCTAGGCTGGAATTCCTCTGTGGAATTCCAGCTAAGTAATGCTCCAAAAGCTCTGGAACCCAATGGGTTTATTCAGGAAAGCATCTATTGGGGAAGAAGTAGCAGTGTTATATCATTCATATTTCTGTTTGTATTTAAACTTCCCTCTCCAACTGGAATACACAACCCAGACTCCATTACTCTGAGCCAGGAATAGATCTCAGCTTTACCATCCTGAAACAGTTATGTCATCTCTTCAGGCAAAGCCAGCCTGAAGGTTGGCGATTTCACTTTTGAAAGAGAGACTGCAGTGAATTTCTGTTGATGCTTCTTACACTCACCCAGAGAGCACTGCATGCTGTCCAAGGCAGTCTACCGACATAGCAGTTGCCTGTTAAGAGAGAGAGAACCTAAATTATACCCATCATTTCAGTTTCCTGGTGAAACAAACCCATCTGCAAGGCTTCAGGAAAACCTGACTTCCTGTCTTCAGGAAGGTCAGAGTTGCTGGGCTAGGCACAAAGGTTAACTTAGGACAGTTCTTCCATTGCTGACATCTCTTTAAACATGCACCTTGGGTAAGAACCAGACTGCTGCTGGTTTGGGGGTTGAGGGTAATCTGCAGATATCTTTCAGTTTCAGATGGAAAAAAACCAGATATGGCAAATGCCGAGAGATAGCTTCATGTTCCCTACCAAGGGAATCACAGCTGCAACATTTAAAACCATCACTATCTTGGTTATTAATAATTAGGTTCTGTTCCCATTATGAAGGGGCCTCACAAAGCATCACCCCTTTTTTTCCCTTCTGTGACCAACTTTTCTAAATGCTTAAAATGAGGGTCTCATTAAACACATGGCCTTGCTCCAGCCTCCACAGCACACTTGTGTCCTTCAAGACTCCAGGGTGTTCCATAGGCTGGGAGCCCTAGCTGATCAAAGTTCCCAGCCAAAGGGAGTGCATGGAGACCTTGGTTCCCAAATGCCAACCCCTTCTTTGGCTGAATGGGCTATCAGTTGATGGGCATTTGCAGCTGGGGGAGCACAGGGAACCAAACTTGCTAGTGCAGGGGAGTTCTGGGTTCATTATCCTAGGCTCCCCCTGCAACAGTAACATGGTATGGTGCTCGATCCCCACAACTGCACCTCCAACCCTATCACCAAATTGCCAGACCTATGAGGAACCCCCCAGGTCAGTGGTTGAGCACCAGTGGTCTAAGCCATCCTAGACAAAAGTCTGTCTAACCTGCTCTTAACAGCTTCCAATAACAGAGTTCACAACCTCCCTCTAGGGAAAGTGCTCTAGTGCCAAACCATCCTCAGTGACAAAGCTTTTCCCCAATATCTAACCTAAATCTTTTGTTGCAATTTAGGCCTCTTACCTCTCGCCCTGTCCCCTGTGAACATATAGAACAAGTCATGGTTATCAAATCTTCTCTAGTCCTCTCTAGACCAACTAATCCCAATACTTCCAACTTTTCCTGGTGTCAGAGATCTTTCCTTGTAGCAAGGTAACTGAGCAGCAGCAGTAGCAGTAGCTTGTGAGCCAAGCCTGTTCATTGTCTTGCTCTTTGTGGATTGTTCACAGAGTTGCTTCAGCTTCTGCCAGACAAAAGCTAAAGTGGGCAGAAACTGCTGTTACCGTACCTTCTTGCTTATGATGTGCACTAGGGGTGTGTGAAGCAGGCCCTATTTGATTCCGATTCGGCCCAAATCAGGGACAGTGATTTGATTAATCGATTCAGACCACTGTCCCCGATTATATATTTGGCTGAATGTGGATTTGAAGATTTGATGCTGGTTTGGAGAATCAGTGATTCGGACATAGACACAGCTTAAAAAATTTTTTTCTACATACCTTGAAGTAGCAGGCGTGGCTCATGATCACTGCAATGCTGGGGCACATCCCACAGTAGCCGGGGCGTGGAGGGGGTGCTTTACGTGCTTGGTGGCAAACTCAGAAGTATTTCTGGTCCACTTCCAAGTCTGTCAGGGAGCGTGCTGGGCCCCCCGCACCTCCCCAGCTCAGCTATTGGCCACAGGGGGACCCCAGGTGCCTCCCCAGACCCAGGAGACACCAGTCACCGAGCTGGGGGGGCATTGGGGGCCTCCCTGAACACTCTCCAGCAGACCCGGAAGTGCTTTTGGTCTATTTCTGGGTCTGCTGCTAAGCGGAGGAAGTGTCCCAGCATCGTAGCATTCATGAGCCACCTGCTACCTAGAGGCATGAAGGAAAAAAAAAAAAAAAAATTAAAGCTGTGTTTATTTCCAAATCTCTCCAAATAGATTTGGAGGGTTCTGATTAGGTTTGGAGAGATTAAAGAGTCCTTTGATTTGATTCAGATTTGGAGATTCAGCCATCAAATTGGGCCAAATCTTTGCCCAATTGAATCAAGGACTGAAGCTTTGCACAGCCCTAATGTGCACCCCAATTTCCAGCAGTTGTTGTTTGGAAATAGGAAGTGTGGGGTATGAGAGAAAAATATGGTATTATTAGCTTTACCAGCTTTTTTGGCAACTACATTACACTGTTGACTCGTAATCAATTTGTGGTCCCCTATAACTCCCAGATCCTTTTCTGAAGTACTACAGTTTAACCCATCATTCTGTATTTTGTATTTGTACGTTTGATTATTCTTAAGTATGGTACTTTGCATGCCCTTAACGTACTGTATCCTATTTCTTTCAGGTGATTTTTCCCAATTAATCCAAGTTATTTTGACTTCTAATCATATACTCTGAAATTGCTTGCCAACACACCACTCTGAACATCATCCCCAAATTTATTAAGTGTGTATTCCATTTCATCCTCCAAATTTTCATAAAGGCACCAAACAATTCTGGACCCAGAATAATCCCTGGGGAATGTCACTTTATACTTCCCTCAAGTTTGGCATTGACCTGTTGATGACTGCTTTGACTGCAGTTGTCCACCTTACACCAATTTCATCTAAACCACATTTCCTTAGTGTATTTGTGAGAATAACGTGGGAAACAAATGTGAAAAGCTGAGGTGCATCACATCTACCCAATTAAAAAAAAATAAAATAAAAAATCACCCCTTTGTCATAGAAGATAATCATATTGCTTTGGCATGACTATTGTTATATTGTTAACCAACATAACAAAAAGAGAAAAGATAGATTTGCCACAGTATCTCTTAAGTATCTTTTTTTCCAATCAAGAATTAAGATGGAAATTGCTAAACATCAGACAAAATTGTTGATGTCAATAAAGAGCAAATCAGCATGCATTTAAAAACACAGCTAAAATGGAAAAATCTTGTGGTCTTCATACTATAACCACCCTTCCCACAAGATGGGAGAAAACTTACTAAAATTACCAAAAGACTCAATCTGATGCATAGCTAGATTCAGAGAGACTCACTGGCTGAGTCTACACGAGATGCTGACTGTGCGCAGCCTGTGATTACTGCGCAGTAGTGTGATGTGGCAGAAAGCATGATGTGACACTACTACGCACCAGTCACGAGCTACGGTGCAGTTAGTGTCACAAAAAAGCTGTTCCTTGGCATTACTGCGCAGTAACAACTGCACAGTCAGCGTCTCGTGTGGACACAGCCACTCAGATGTTTGTACTTTATAAGGTATTTTTTAACCTCATAATCCTTTATAGATTACTGTAATGAATGCGCATGTACTAATATACTGCATTTTTAGATATTAATTTTTGTCTTAACACAAATTCACTATCATAAAACAATGATAGATTGGAACAGGATGAAAAACTGGTTTACAGGCTCACATGCTGAGCTGTGACTCTTAACAGCACATGCACAAATCCATGTAATACACTGTATAAAAAAAAAAAATTGTTGTCAGATATATTTCAGACTTTGTATACGTAGATTCCTAGAGTACCTAGAATTGCTGCAATCATACCATTACCTATCTAAAAATTGGCATGTTCAAATTTTGCACGTTTGAAACTAGTTAACCTACCAGCACAGGCAATATTTCTAAGACAGCTACATTAGGCGGCTCATTTGATTTATTGCTATTCTACTAATTGTTCATTTACCACAGTTAACTGTCCTGCTGTTGTTCAGAGTTCTATGAGCCCTGACCGCTAAAATGCTGGTAGGCAATTCTTTGGCCACCAGTTTAATGTTCTTTTTTTGAAGCAGTGTCACCTAGTAAATAGAGCAATGGGTAAAGACTTGGAAGATGCAGATTGTATGCCAGCTCTGCCACTGATTTTCAGGGTGACTTTGGACAAGTCACTCCCCCCTCTGAACCTGTTACCCATCTGTAAAATAGTAACAGTGAAACTGAGGAAGTTTATATGAGCAAATCTCAAAAGTATTTTATGGAGGAAATGCTGTATAAAATACCTTCCATGTTACGGTAGTTTTAGAGTGATGTTGTAACTGTGAGGTCCAGGAATTATGTAAGAAACAAGGATTTCTTTGGGTGATGAATCTTTTATTGGACAAAATGCATAGTTGGAATAGAGCTAGACAAGCTTTCAAATGCAAAATATTATCGGAGAAATGTCTTGCATTCAAAAGTTCGCTCCACTCTATTCCAACTGTGCAGTTGGTCCATCAAAAGATATCATCTAAAGAAATCATCGCCTCCCATAAAAGACCATCATTTCTGTTGTGCAGTTTTCTTATACAGCCTTTCCTACACAGACACCTTAAAAATCAAAAGTAAATACACTGAGGAGTTTAATGTAGGTAAAAGGTGTCAGCCTAGCAGCCCCAGATACTGACACATTGTAGCCCCTGAGCAGGCATACAGCAGGTGGTGGCAGCTCCTAAACCAGGAATGCAAGTTGGTGTAGCTCTAGTAGAAAAAAAAGGTTTTGAATGTAGCTGTTATCAATAGAAACTAAGGGTTGAAAAGATCCTGCCAAACAGCCACTTGCTGAGAAAGAAAACACTTGACCTGTCCTCAGATCATTTCCTATTAGTAATATTTGGCTTCTCCTGACCCAGCAAGCCAGAGATGTCAGTCTTCAGTTCTCATTGATTCCCAGGAAATTGGTAATGTCTTGGCAATTTGTCCAAGCTTGATCTCTTCATATTTGCTAGACAAAGCAACTGAAGAAGATATTAACTGAGTCTTGTTTGTTTCATACATGTTCAGTGTATTATACCCTACACAGTCTGTAAAGCTACAGCAGTGGCTTTACGAATTGTATACTGGGTTTAGTATGCTGAACATGCACTAATTCAACACATCATCCTTTTCCTAAAGAGAAAGGAAAGCCACAATTTCAAAACTTTGGGGCAATTTCTAGTACATTTTTTAAACATGTGTTTTCTTCTTTAGTACAGTTTGCAATAT